CTCAGCCTCATTTTCTCCCTCAACAGCACCGGTTTTGTCCTCGTTATTTGCACGCGACAGCGGCGAGTTGAAAACAGCGAAAGCTGCCGCCTGCCTTCCGCTGGCGAACATCATATCGGGTCGCGGCGGTTCGAACAGTGATACCTTGTTGCTGTGTTCATCATTGTCCCCCTACCACTGCCGCTCTTCCGTTCAATCTGGCATCCACCGCAGCTTTTCCGATTCCCGTTATCGTTACCATGGCTGTACCGCCATAGAAGTCTTGCGTCCGAGCCTTCAGAAAAGCTACAGCGCCGTCACCAGGGTATGTCATGTTGTTTTTCCAGTGGCACGTGCTTTGACATGAAGAGACAGCTAGGTGTTTGTTACCTAATCGCTAGTTCAGTTGCCGGTCAGGATTACAGGAGCTGACGGGCGTTACTGGTTTTTGATCTCTTCCGTAGATTAACGAACCAATCCTGACTTCGCTCTTGAACCACAGCTAGCCATCATATGCCTGCATATAAACGAGTGCATTGTAAACTGTGTTAAAGAATGCTTGGGTGCAAAGTGAACTCGTATAAAGCACTTATAGTAGACCGAGAGAGAGATATAAGACCACTGAAGAGTCGAACGGAGGATTGAGTATTGTTCAAAGATGGTGCTGTTTAGTGGCTGAGAGTGACGTTGCTTACGTATATGATGCTCGGTATCACAGTGCATATTTTGTATTGCAAGGTCAGTCCGTGAAGTATCACATGGAGCGTATAACTGTCAAGTGGCTCATCTTCATGTTTATTTGGCGGAAACATCCAGCATGAGTGTGTCTTAAATCTTTGCAGTGTCTCATTTGTGAAGTAAATCTACCCCAAATTATTTGGCGAAAAAATTCAACAAAGCGTGTCTTATATCTAGGACCGGCATCGGTCGGCCCGGTTGGTAAAGTGTCAGACTCAGAACTGGGAGGTCCCATGCTCAGTTGCTTTTTTTTCTTTCCGAGGTTGATGAATGAGTACCAGTTTGTGACAAGTAAGCACTATGCTTTGCCTTGTAGCTGTTGTCATCTCTGTCTTTTAAATAATGCATTCCTGACTGATGGCTTGCCTAAATAAAGACCACCACTTCGCCATTTAATTTCATCAACTCACTAATATATCTCTCGTGACAGTCATTTCAGAGATGGACATTATATTTGTCATTGTACCAGCGAATGAT